CCCGAGCCCCTGCGCCCGCGTCACTGGGGGAAAGTGGGCGGGGTCCCAACTTCGGGAGACCCAGGCGCTGCGGGCTGTGGCCCCGGGGACCAGACGGGCGCTTGCTGGCCGAGATTCCACCACAATTATCCCGATTACCCTGTTCCTGGAGGCAAGAGCCCTCGCGGGGAGGGCCAACCACCCTTCCAGTTCCATCTGATAGTCTGCACGTGCCTGGGGGAAGCCTCCCTCCGCCACTGGGCATTTTACATTCTGGTCTGACGACAGTTAGACTGGAGGGAGCTGGATCAACCAGACACCGGGCTCACGTGCCTGTCAAAGGGTGGGAGGCGGGTCCATACAGAAACCAGCATAAAGCTTTAAGGAAGCAGAGCACCTTGGATGTGTGTCCGGCCCCCCACCCCCCACCCCCCCGCCCAGCAAACCCTGTTGGAAGGCTACTGTACCAGGACACAGAGTATTGTCCAGAAGCCATGGTTCTTGACTAGACACTGAAGTCAAGGTTCCAGAGACCAATGGATATCCACTTGATAGCTATTTTATAGGCAAGGGCAGGGTAGGTAAGGACCAATAGAGTCAGGTGTTGGTAAGCAGAGAGAGGAAAACAAGAGGAATCTAGGGAAAGGAATCATGCGAAAAGAAACCACTTATCTTTTACCAAAATGTGCCGCATGCATTCTTGACACTAAACATCTGAACGATTCAAAGGGTGGGAATACTTCCTTTTACAGACCAGAAATGTGCCTGCATGCAGCGCATACCATGACACATTCCTGTTGCAGCCCCTACAAGGCAGCTCGGGCTGGGGCAGGCAGATGAAGGAAGTATGGGCCACCAGGCACAAGGAGCTGGAGTCACGAAGTGGTGAGACAAAGGTTAAGTGCAGAGAGGGCCATGTGCTGGGAGGAATGGAGCAGGGAAGGCAGACTCACCTGGGTAATGGTTTGAGGGAGGCACACTTTGGGCCCCAGTGGAAGGTAGAAATACATACATTTGGTGCACCCTTTTACAAACTGCATCATCTGCAGGGCAGGTAGCTGTGCAGGGTGATCTCTGTACAAGAACACTTGGCAGAACGATGAGCAAGGGCCAGTCCACCTCTGCTGGTACCTTCTGTGCCTGGGAAGGAAGGCTACTTTTCAGAGGCACCACCTTCCGACCCAGCTGCAACCCCATGGGACAGGCACTTTCGTCTTACCAGCCAATGGTGGTATGAAACCCCAGCATTTCCTACTCCATTGGCCACTTAATGGCCACCTCCTATGGAGCTGGGGTAGAATCCCGCGGGGTCCAACCATTATCAGAGTGAAGGCCGGGGAGGATTAGTCAACTTCTAAAATGGTTTCTTTAATGTGGAAGTGGAGGTCAGAGATACACCCAGATCTGTGACAAGAAGGCAACTTTTGGCTTACTGTTACTGTAGTATGAGTGGTTCGTTCCAAAGTGGGATGAGCCTGACGCTAGCCTTTCCCTATCGTAGGCCTCTTGATGGGTAGTTGGGATGGGGGTGGGCGGGGCACTAAGAAGTAAGGTGTTCTGCTTCAACCAGCCCTCCAAATAAGTGAGGTGAGGGCTTTCCAGCCCTGAATTCCCTGTTATGGTGAATGTCTTTAGGGCAGGTCTTTAATCTACAATTCCCATATGTACACAAGTGATTTCACAACTCTTGGAAAAACAGTGCTGCAAAAATAATGTTTATTGATTTTGGGGGGTGGGGGAAAACAAAAAAACATTGCATTTCAAAAGTACCTTTTCCCCAAGATTTAAACAGAAACACTGAAAAGAGAACTCAGAAGAGTGTCTGGCTTTTTACTATAGCACCACAACATAACCAGTGCAACCAGTCTCCCTGTTGGCTCTGAAAAGGCAGAGAGAGCATTCACTTAAGGGTTCACTTTTAGGCCTGCTCCAACTCTTGGGGAGATCTGATATGGCTTCATGATCATCTGATACCTCCTGGATAGGGCAGGACTTCAACAAGAGGACTTAAAATGTTTAAAATATTTGGTAACATTCTGCAGTGTTTGCACCCAGAGACGGCTCCGAGGGAGGAGTACTGTCTTGACTCCTCTTTCTCCCTGCCAAGGCTTCATGTGCATCGGTGAACCAGGGGGGGTCTGCCAGCCTGCACGTTGGACACTTACTACCTCAAAGGGCTGCCTTCCACCGTGCAAGCTCGGCTCTAGTTGGCAGACCCCTCCGAGTGGACCATGGAGATCGAATGCCCTTCCAGAGGCACTTCCAGAGGGAAAAGCAGTGGAACTGCCCACGATGGTCCCGCTGGCTGGCTGGCCGGCCTCCAGAAGCTCCTACTCATGCTTAGTACAAAACACTCCAGTTTTTCCCTTTCTTGCATTACATTCTACAAAGACCTGGCTTTTACCCCTGCACACCCCAGCTCCCATCTGTAACATCACCCACTGCAGACCAGGAAGCACACAGGCTTAAATGGACAGCTTACCTTCAACAAGGACACTTTGCTGAGTGGACATGAGAGATACATGCCAAGCTCCCAGACCTGTTTCTTGGGAAAGTTGGATAGGCGATTGCCACTGCACCTCACGGCCCAGGCTGCCAGCACAGCTACTTAATGGGACAGCAAAGTGTTTGGGACATCAGAGACCTGCCCGATGCCAAACTTTGCCGAGTCACCCAGGACATCCCAGATACAGATCTGCCCCACAGGGCTTTCTCCTCTGTAATCTTTGCCGGACCACACTGCCAGGTGTTTCTCCTGCAGTCACAGCATAGGTTTGACCTACCAACCTTTCAGTGAACACTGTCTCCATTAGGGCTCCTCCAGGACCCTAGATGAGGGGTGGCCCTGCAGGTACCCCAGAGGTATTTCAGACAGGTCTGAAGCAATGGCTGCATCGATGACGTGTGTGTAAACCTCCAGCAGGTCAGCTTTGGAGAACATCGACCTGCCAGGTCCATCCTCCACAGTCAAGTTGTACACCACTGCCAGGGTAGGGCCAGGGGTTTCTGCAACTTTATGGAAGGAGACCACTTCAACTTTCTCCTTGGAGTGGGTGGTAGATTTGAACTACTGACCTTGTAGTTAGTATTCCAATGCTTAACCCACAATATACATTTGTAGCTGAAAATGGAAATGCTTTCTTGGATAGGAAATATCTGTACTTCATAAGCAAAGTGCCCCAAGAGGAAAAAGTTTAAATGCAAGGAGTTCCCATCAGGCTCCACCCTGAGGCCTTTGTAAGGGCCACATACCGCTTAAAGGGACAAAGCAGGCACACACTAATTAAAACACCATCTCCCCTTTACAGCTTCCCTCCTTTCAGGACAGGAAGGGAGGCAAACATTCCAGAAGCCTGCCCCCTTACTCTGGCTTTGTTTCCAAGTTCTAGAATGAAATCCCCAAACAGGTGATTGGTTCAGCTTTGTTGAAGACAGATCTAAAAAGTATTTCAAGACTAGGTAGCCTAAGAATTCCAGTAAAATCCTATGTTCCAAGTCATGAGATCAGACGAAGAACAGGAAGGCTAAAATTACTGGTTCTCTGAGCTGGCAGCCTGGGGGTGGAGTTTGGCAAGCCTCCCAGTCCTGTGAGGCCTTGGATGGTCATTAACATTTTAAGTCAAAAGGCACTTCCAGCCTAGTTGAGGAAGAGGGCAAAGACTTTCTACTGGAAAGGAGAAGGAGGCGCTGGGCTGGCAAATTTAAGGCATTCACCCTCAGGCCGGCTCTGTGGTAAAGTGAACTCTGATCCTTGGCTGCATCACCACTAGGCCCTTCTAATTTGTCCACTTCCTGCCCCCACACTCCCTAGCATTCCTCTGGCACTGCTAGTGGTGGTGTGCTGGTCTTAATGGTTGGTAGACTTGAAAAGTAGCTGCCTCATCTCATCTCAGAGGTGGTAGACTCTCAGGTGTACGGAACAAACCAACAGCTTCCTGAGAGAGATGGACTAGCCAACAGTCAGGCTGAACTTGAACCTGGGGTAGGGGGGCTTGGTTGCAGATGCCACAGGTTTGGCCACAGAGGCAAGGCCGACTTGCTGGAGAGCTGAAGTGGCTCCGAGCCTTGAGCCTCGGTATGCACAATGCTTGGAGGACTTCTCGGACCTCAGCTTAACCCATCGTTGGAAACATGCCCTCCAGGTGGAAGCGGCGACAATCCTGAGATCTTTATTCCAGGGGAATAAGCCCGGGAAGTTAGGGAAAGAAAAGAGCCTGAGTCACAAACAGGCTCACTTTAGTCCTTTTGTGGGGTGGTTCAGGGACGTTTTCCTCATGTTGAAATCTCCTTTGTATGTTTGCTCCAGACTGTTAAGTCAACATTTGGAGACAGTTTCAAGATTGTTCTGATAACTTCTCTAGTTTGAGCAGATAAGAGACAAACTAGGGGTTAGGTCAAAAGCTGGAATTCCACAGCCCTAACCAAGGCCGGTTTTGCAACAAGAAATCAATGCAGTTTAGTTCCAGTATCTTCTTCTTAGGTCTCCTATTAGACTGTGTAAGGCAGCAGGGTTAGCCAGGAACTTGCAAACGTCATGAAAAGGGAGGGAAACAAGCTTGCATATAGGCCCCCACAATGAAAGGTCTCCCACTTTATTTTAACAGCATTACCTAGAGAGAACCCCACATCTAAAGTCCTGAGCAGCTGGCGGTCAGACCACTGTCTACACCTTCAGGGAGGCTCTTGCCAGTGTGGCAAGAGGGTGGGGTCAAAGAGCTGAACACTACCTGAGGCGAGATGAGAGACAAGAAGGAACAAAGCAGCGGCGACAAAATCCAGCTGGAAAAGGATCCAGGAAGGAAAACACGGACCTGGAGTGCAGTAGGCAGGAGCCAGAAGAACCACACACACAGGGGCATGGAGCCAGGGCGAACAGGAGCAGCCCAGTGTCCCATGGCACGTGACCTCAGTCAGGGAGCTGCAAGAGGGCACAAAGCCACCAGAAGAGCCAGCTCTTCCCGGAGACTCAGCTTTCAGAAAACATCAAACTCGAACAAACTTCTCAAAATATTCCAGAACATCAGGCTGGCAAAATGGGTCAGCATATGGGGAAATACTGGCGTCGAGAGAGGCGGCCAGTGCTGCAACATCCTTCTCCTAGGGAGGCAGCAGCTCTTGGGCTCAAGGGCAGTGGGTGGTCCTGGCACCCTGAAACCAGGAGTCAGCTCCTGGGCGGAATTCTTTCCAGTGCAGTCGCAAAGTGCCAGCCTGGAGAGGATGTGGCCAATCCCATCAGTGTTTGCTCTGCCGCTTTGCGATCTCTTCCTGGACACGCAGCTTAAGGGCGTCTCGCATGAGTGGATCCAGAGGCGTGTGCGCTGACACCTCCTCACTCACCCTTCCTGGGTCGTCGTCCTATGTGGAGAAGAGTCAGGAAGCTCAGGGCATGGCCTCTTCGTGAAAGGCGGCCAGCCCTGTGCCTAGACACACTCACAGAAGGCCCTGGGGCACACGATGTCTTGCCGACTGCTGTCACTGCCCAGGCTATCCCATCAGAGTGATTCTCACCGGGGGCCACGAGCCTTCCCTGTTTCCCCCATGAGAACCACTGTGTCCTGGGCGCGGGCCGTGCTTGGAAAGCATCACCGGGCAGTCCTGTGCTCCTGTGCGGAGCACACACTGCCCACTGGCCCTGAGAAAGCAGTGGTTCAAGACCTGGCAGTAAGGCCTACCGTGGCCCAGGCCCTCCAGGCTGCAGCGGTTTCCACCTGCGGCGTACCTGATACACAATCACTGATGTGACCTCTCCGCTGTCCGCCTCATACTCTAAGCAGAAGAGCTGATGGCCAGAAGGCTCCAGCTCAGAGCCACCACTACTGCTGCTTTCACCGGACTCCTCATAGTCAGGGTTGCTTGGGTGAGTAGAACCATCTGGAGGGATGAACCACAGTGAGAGGGAAGAGGGGGAGGCAGGTGGTGCCCCTGCCCAAAGAGATGACAACGCAGGAAGACATCCTGCAAACAAAGTCCTAATCTATTTATGGGACCAGATGTGTGTGTGTGTGTGTGTGTGTGTGAGTGTGTGTGGGAGATGTGCTGCCAGTTTTAATTACCTCTATATCCTTGCTGGGAGCCCAGCACCATCCTGTCTTATAGCAGGTGATTACAATGTTTTTTATCTAGTGAATGGAATTGAAAGGTAACTGAGGAGTGGAGAGAATAGTCTCTGGAGCCCCTGCTGGGATCAAACCCAGGTTCTGCCATGTAGCAGCTAGGAGCCAAGTTACTCCCTATGTCTCAGCGTCCTAACCCGGGAAACAAATGTAACAATCTGTTCCACCTTCTGGGGAGTAAAGACTCAATGAGATAGTGTGCTCAGAAGGAAAAGCCCTTCTGTTAAGGCTTGGCAACCCCTCGCGCTGTTCGCTGCTGGGACCCCTAGATCACAGGGCAGATGGGTGGGGCGGTGGGGAATTCCATTCCTGGGTTTGCACTTTTCCTTCACAATGGAACCCTGGTCCCTGGTAGCTGGGCCAGGGTTTCTCGCTGCTAAAGCCTGGGGAGACAGACGGCGGGCCGCGAGGGCAAACCTACACACGCCTTCCGGCCAGCTCCGGGCATTTCCCAGGGACCCTCTGTGATGGTCAGGCTGACTCTTAACCGGGGGCTACAAGCCCTCCCTGTTCCCTGGGGGCAAGAAGTAATTAGAGAAAGGGGGCCGCCGGAGTGGAAGCTCCGCGCAGGGACGCAGAGTGGTTTTTCCAGG